GCCTCCCAAGTAGCTGGGACTATAGGCGCCCGTCACAGCGCCGGCCATTTTTTGGTTGCAGCCATCATTGTTGCTTGGCGGGCCCAGGCTGGGGACTCGAACCCACCACCCTAGGTGTATGTGGCTGGCGCCCCAGCCGATTGAGCCACAGGTGCCGAGCCATTAAAAAACAAATTAACAAGTAAAAATACTGAATAGAGATCTCAGCTTTTAGAAAACAGTGAAAAGATTTTTAAGAAAATAATTTTCTCTTTTGTCAAACATCATTTCCTACTCAAATAAAGAGCTACTTCTGAAGAACTCTTTCAGAACCCAACTGTGCTAAGAAACTATTTTTTTAAATTCACAAGTTTGTTTCTAAGCACTTTTCTTTCTTTCTTTTTTGAGACAGAGTCTCAAGCTGTTGCCCTGGGTAGAGTGCCATGGCATCACAGCTCATAGTAACCTCCAAATCTTGGCTTAAGCGATTCTCTTGCCTTAGCCTCCCCAAGTAGCTGGGACTACAGGTGATCGCCACAACGCCGGGCTACTTTTTGGTTGTAGTTATCATTGCTGTTTGGCAGGCCTGGGCTGGATTCGAACCCACCAGCTCTGGTGTGTGTGGCTAGCACCTTAGCAACTTAATCCACAGGCACCGAGCCTCTAAGCACTCTTCTTTTTTTTTGAGACAGAGCCTCAAGCTGTCACCGTGGGTAGAGTGCCATGGCTTCACTGCTCACAGCAACCTCCAGCTCCTGGGTTCAAGCGAGTCTTCTGTCCTTTGGAGGCTGGGACCACAGGAGCCCGCCACAACACCTGGCTGTTTTTTGGTTGCAGCCATTATTGTTGTTTGGCGGGCCTGGGATGGATTCGAACCCACCACCTTAGGTGTATGTGGCTGGGGCCTTAGCCGCTTGAGCCACAGGCACTGAGCCAGCACTTTTCTTAAAGCATGGAATACTTCAGTTCCCTGCCCTGCACTGTCCGTGACTCTCACTGCTTTCTGTGACAGCAGGGGAAGGCACCTGTGACGGGGCTCACCTTGAGGGTAGCACACGCCGTGTAGCACACGTTGGGCAGGATCTCTATCGGTTCTTTGAACATGACCCTGAACGTATTAGCTGTCCCATCACAACTAAATCCAGTATCGTTTTGTCCCAGGGTTTGTTTTTTTTCATATTCAATGATCTGGAATTTTTAAAAGACAAATGATACTGAAGTTAAACCAAATGAAACAAAATTTTTTTTTTTTTTGAGACAGAGCCTCAAGCTGTCCCCCTGGATAGAGTGCCCTGGCATTACAGCTCACAGCAACCTCCAACTCCTGGGCTCAAGCGAGTCTCCTGCCTCCGCCTCCTAAGTAGCTGGGACCACAGGCGCCCGCCACAACGCCCGGCTATTTTTTGGTTGCAGCCATCATTGTTGTTTGGCGGGTCCGGGCTGGGGATTCGAACCTGTCACCTTAGGTGTACGTGGCTGGAGCCTTAGCTGGTTGAGCTATAGGCACCGAGCCATGAAACAAATATTTATAGGAAAGAATATGAAGCCCTTAGAAACAGCAGAGCAGACTACTAAATCTGTGTTCTAATTTCCCTCTACTTACCTATATCCACCAAAGGTGGTTTTCAACATGCTGTTTATCACTTATCACTGTAAGCCGTCAGACAACTGGGGCTGACTGTAGCAGAGGAGCTTCCACAAAAGTTGCAGGGTGCTATGTGTATTTTATATTCCTGAGCAAAATTACTCCCTGCTAGTCTGCCTTGTTGCCAGAAAATTCTCATGGTATTTCTTATGTCTACATGTTATTTTTGCTATAATTAAAATGACCTTAAATACAGTGCCAGTTTTGTGAATATTCAGTGTAAAACTTCTGCCTTTCCAATTTAGGCCCACAATCTGTGCCATGCTCTATGCTAGGCAGGGATGGACCCCCTCACTAGAGAAGACATGTTCACAGAGATAGTTCAGAGCAGTGCCTGCAGAGAGCCATGCACAGAGGAAAAGCTGGTTCTGTCAAGCTGGTTAGCTGAAGCTTCCTAGAGAAGAGTTTTAAAAGCTCAAGTTGGGAGCTGGCCAGGGTAAGAGAGAAAAGGTCTTCTATGCGTGGGAAAGCATAGCAAAGGCAGATAGAAACCTGCCTTTTTGCTATATTAGACAAAAACTAGTAGTGTGGGGCGGCTTCTATGGCTCAAAAGGGTAGGGTGCCAGCCCCATATGCCGGAGGTGGTGGGTTCAAACCCAGCCTGGGCCCAAAAAGAAAACTAGTAGTGCAACAGAAACAGCTTCTGTGCTGTGACAGGTCAGGACAGTGACTGGATTTCTGGGGTGCTGTGCTGTCCCGTTCATCCAGGCACTGGTCACACAGGCATGTTCAGTCTGTGTATGTATGTGTCCCTCACCATGATGCATGCTCGTCTGTGTGGCACAGGTCAACAAAAAATGAGAACACAGTGACATGACACAATGGTGCCCCAGAATAAGGCATCTGGTTGTGACCACGCAATCTAGAGCAAACCATTTCACTTTTCCAAACTTCAGTTTTATCTTTTAATTTGGGAAAGAAATATTTTTTTGTCTTCTTCCTAGGATTATATTGTGAGAGTCAAATTATAAAACAACAGCAACAAACAAAACTAGCAAGACTGTGTGCCAAACACTTTATATGCACTGTCTTGAGCAGAACTCACAGAAGTGTAATGTAGCCATCACTGCTGTCTCAGTAGATGAGGAAACTGAGGCTTAGGGAACTAAACAATTTGCCCATAGTTGTACCTTAGAGGCAACAGAGCTGAGATTTTTACTCAGGCAGATCTATCTGACTTTAAAGCTCATTCATTTAGTCATTTTAAAAACTCTCCAATAAAATGTAGGTAAAAATCCCTAGAAAATGCCAAAGCATTAGACAACTAGAATATGGAATCATTATTAGCATATGAATACACTGTATATTCTACATCTGCTTTTGACCATTGGTAATAATCACTTGCAGATTTGTTGTCTTCAATACTGCTGTTGCTTGAGGATATTACAGAAGATGGACTACAAGAGTCCTTAGATGATATAACTGTTACAGTACTAAAAGTCTGTCACCTTTCCCTAATGGTCTAGTGGTAGTGGATGTGGGTTGACTACTGCTCTTGCAATCTTCCAATCCAACATGTCTTTTTGCTACTATATGTTTATAAAACAGGATTTTGGCACTTTCATTTAATACTGTGAATCAAGTTAAGGCTGTATTTGAAGAAAAATATGGCTCTCAGGCCGGGTATAGTGGCTCACACCTATAATCCCAGCAATTGGGGAAGTCAAGGCAGGTGGATTGCCTGAGCTCAGGAGTTCCAGACCAGCTTGAGCAAGAGTGAGACCTTGTCTCTACTAAAAATAGAAGAACTAGCTGGGTGCCTGTAGTCCCAGCTCCTGGGGAGGCTGAGACAAGAGGATCACTTGAACCCAGGAGTTTGAGGTTGCTGTGAGCTGTGACACTACTGTACTCTACCCGTGAGTAAAGTGAGATTGTCCAAAAAAAAAAAAAAGTATGTGGCTCTCCACAAAACATGCATCTCCATCATGCCTACACTGGTTTCTTATACAACATAGACTTGACTTTTCTTGCTCCTGGGCTCAAGCGAGTCTCCTGTCTCAGCCACCCAAGTAGCTGGGACCACAGGCGCCCGCCACAATGCCCAGCTATTTTTTGGTTGCAGCCATTTTGTTGTTTGGTGGCCCAGGCTGGATTCGAACCCACCACCTTAGGTGTATGTGGCTGGTGCCTTAGCCACTTGAGCCACAGGTGCCGAACCAACATAGACTTTTCTTTCTATACACTGTATCTCTGGGGTAAAGACCCAGGATGGGCATTATGAAAAGCCGTCTGGGTCCTCATAATAAATATTCCTGTTTACAATTTACTGATTTAGAGGAACTGCAATTATAAATGTATAAGAGAAAGGCTGAGTCAGGGACCGTAACTGTTGGTACCTGGTCTTGAGAGAAGGTTCCCATAGGATTGGGCCTTTACTACAGAGTTAAAGCAAAGGTTGTAAACTGGTAAACTATCAGTATTTAGCTTCAGGTTGGCTTTTTTTTTTTTTTTTTGAGACAGAGTCTCAGTTTGTTGCCCTTGGGAGAGTGCCATGGCATCATCACAGCAACCTCAAACTCTAGGGCTTATGGGATTCTCTTGCCTCAGCCTCCCAGGTAGCTGGGACTATACGCCCGCCACAACACCCGGCTGTTTTTTGTTGTTGTTGTTGTTGTTGCTGCTGCAGTTTGGCCAGGGCTGGATTTGAACCTGCAACCCTCGATATACGGGGCTGGCGCCCTACTTACTGAGCCATAGGC